AAGTGCGAGACAGATAGAGATGGGTTGGTAAGAACAGTGATGGTGCGAATGAGAGAAGGTGTAGCAAGAAGAGATGTGCGAAAGCTCTGCCTTCTAGAGGGAGCCGAGTAATTGTAGATTGTAGCTTGGGTTTATGGATGTACAGGGGTACTGTTGTAAGTCCTGTGCCTCCCATTGATATAGAGCAGTTAGTAAGGAGAGCCATGACAGAAATGCATTCTAAGGTGTCTTTGCGTAGCTGGAGGGATTTTGGGGGCCGATGTAACGGAAAGAGAACAGTGAAAATCCCTCTGCAGCTTCTTTGTTGAACAGTATTCTCATTTGTTTGTTCCTTCTCCCTTCTGTGTATTCCAACCTTTGTTTAGATCTCGTTTAACCATGTCTTTTGTTCTTCAGTCTTCACCGTTTGAGCCTTTATTATGTGATTTTGATTAAAGACTTATTTTTGTTACCTAATTTTCTATTGCATGTTGCCGGACCATTGACAGTAAGGTTGTGTTTGACTAAGCTCAAGGTCACGGCGTGGTTCAGTTTGTGACTGTTAACCTTCTGACTGTCTGCTCGGGAGAATTGCTGCAATCCCTGCAGATAGATATTTGATCCCATCTTATTGGGAATATTTGTATTGATTCTCAGGTATCAAACCCTTTAGTATTAACTGTCTCTTTCATTGTTTAGCGCGCTACTTTGCGTTAGAGAAACTTCTGACTGTATAGCACAGGCTGTACCGTTTGAGGTATTTTGTATTTTTGATGTAATTTGTTCTGTTTTCCTAATTAGAACCGTTTATATTGAGCACAGAGTTTGTGTTTCGATATAATATAATACGAGTATCTCAAAGACGCGTTGTGAGCTATACAGAGGAACTTGGTCTGGTCTAATCGAGTAAATTTTGGGTTCGTCAGTCCGTTGTTCCAACCGAATATTGGCTGTTCGGTCGTTGCACTTACACTATTTTAACTACAACACTTGTGAGGCTTACAAGTCTGTGGTTCGATAGAACTTGTCTTGGTCCCGTTTTATGTATAGGAGTGACGAGTGCGTCCTTCCAGTCCATAGCTAACACACCTTCTTCAAGTGACATATTCAATATCACAGTCAGTGGAGCCGCAATATATTGTGCAATATGTCTCAAGATTTTGGGGTGTAGTTCATCTGATCCTGTTGACTTTTCCATATTTAAGGTACTAAGAGCCTTAAGCACATCGTCTTAATCGAAGTCCACTTTGATCAGGTGGTCTGTTGACCCTGTATTTGGGTCTGGTTCTTTGTCTAGAGGAGGTTCTTGAGTGAAAACTGCCCCAAAATAGTCAGCCATAGCCTCTGCTCTTTCCTGATCTCCCTCTATCATTTCAGATTCACCCCCTCCTTTAATTAGGTTGAGAATCTAATGATGCATCCTTGTTCTGTAGTTTGTGTACGAGAATATTCTCTTGGGTTGCTTGAATGCGGATTGTGCCAACTGCGTTTCATTTTTTCTCTGAGCTTCCCGAGTTTTCCTACCGATCTGTGCCAAGGCGGATGGCAACATTCCAACATTTCTTCTTTTGTCTTCGTAAACGTCGAATATCCCAGCCTGTCCAGGGATGGCCGTGTTTCTTCTTCTTTGGAACTGTTCATGGTATGTATGGTTGAGTTACCCGATTGTATAACTGCCTGAAAAGAGTCCATGCCTCTTGTACCGATGCCCTTGAATCAATTTCTCAGTTTTCAGCCGATGCTGCGGAGTTGATTGCCTCTATATCTGCTTCCCATATATTAGGACGGGCCGGCGCAACTGTTTGACAGGCAATCTCAGTCATGCATTTGAATAAGATGACTGCATGGTCACTTCTCCCAAGTGGTGGGAGAAACGTCACTTGACCAACGTCATCACCGTGTGTGAAGACTAAATCTAAAAGAGAAGAAGAGTTTTTTAAATCACATGTTGTGAGATTTATAATGTGTTGGAATAAAGCTAATCCAATCGAGGTGTCTAACAGTTTGCAATCGAACGATGCTATCAATGACCCTAATTCCAAGTTAACCCAGCTTATATACGGTGCATTCAAGTCGCCTACTAAAAGGCTTTTACCTTTGTTACACCAAGACTTAGGTTTTCTTACAAGAAAATAATCTACCACACATTCTGGACTGCCATATACCACAATTAATTCAGTATCTTGCTGTCTACATTTAAGCTTGCATCTCACCAGTTCACATGTTCGTGAATCATGTGCCACCGCCTCAACTGCTCGTATGGTTAGGGTATCTTTTATGTACAGGATAACCCCGCCTCCCCTACGGTTTAATCTATCATCCCTACTGAATAAAAAACCCGTCAACTGAATTTTATTATCTAATACTTCTGAAGTTAACCAAGTTTCCGAGACAGCAATAACATCCGGTTTTTCTTTATTCACCATTGGCTTGAGCTCCACCATTTTATTTATTAGGCTGCGAGCATTTGTGTAGCATACCTTTAAGTCTGTGGATAACTTTCCCTTACCATCCAGAGTGGCTTGGGGATCGTTTTGTTTCTAACTTTTACAATTTGAAAATCCTAAAGAACGAGGTTTCTTTCACCGTTTCGGCGACGCTCATTTATTTCCACTTCTGAAGCTCGTCTCTTAATACTATCAGCTAGGCTGAGATCCTCACGGACGTATATTGCGGATCCAATCAGTTTACTTGAGTTACATAGAATCAGGTTCCTTTCTTCAACCGTGGTGAATGTAACCTTCAGAAGGCGGTTTTTCTGAGGACTTTCAGAATACACCTTTTTTCCTATTCTATAAAGCCTACAAATACTAACTCCTGAAACTGTATCTGGGAGTAGTTTGCTTATTAAAGACTTAATATGACTGAGATCGGGTTTAAATCTAGCCTTTGGTTCTTTATCGGAAGATTCTCTTAACTTATTAAAATGACTGACCTCTCAGAGAGATGTCTTGACACGCAGTGGAATTTTTGTTTCTGATACCGTCTCCTCCAATGATTTGTTAAGCAGCAGTGTTTTGCCTACAGCTTTTTTCTTCTCACTCCTTTTTCTCCGTACTGAAGTCCATTTATCATCACTCACGACAGCCACACCGGGACTATTTGGAACGGTGGAAGTCTTCGATCTCCACTACAGATGTATGATTACCGATGTCAATATGAAGCGGCACTTCACTCCTCGTTAATGTTAACGGGGATTTTACTTTCGCGTCGATCACAGTCGAGTGTTTAGCAGGTCCAGTAGCAGCACGTACTTCACTGACACATTCTTCAACGTCAGTGCTCGTGTTGTCAGCGCAACCGCCATCGTTTTTCTTACAGGCCAATAGGTTCATAGCCTCCTGAATTAGTAACTTTTTATTTGTACAACAAAACATACAAAGCTAATGTGAGTTAGGCTTCGAGCATCTTTTGTATGCCGTAGGACTTAGACGTGCACACATCTTATGGTACCACTTTTTACATTCATCGCACTGCATTCCTTCCACAACAGGGAACAAGCAGTTTGGTAGTCGTCATTTATAAGTCTTACTAACCATTGTAACTCGATTAAAAAGGTTTAAAACACAATATGATCATAATGTGAACACGAGTGTCAGTCAATCAGTATAAAAAAGGTACCACAGGACAAAGTTTATCAAAAGTTTTAAACCTTAACCAAATTACTTTTAGTTAAAGTAGACCAAGAGTGCTTTTCGGGGAAACAAGTACACAAAGCAAGAATAATCACGACAAGTACAAAAATCACTTCTCTTTCAATTATCTTGAGCTTAGTCCCGTAACATCTGATGTTTTTTGTGTCACCAAGGAAACAGTGCATAATGTTGCACAGGTTAGCTAAGTAAAAATGCCCTGATCAATAAGACACTTGCGCACACTGATAAATTTCACAGTTTAGTTCCATAATTCGTAAAAGATTTCCCATTCATATAATTGATTATACAGGTCAGGACTATTTTTTAATCCTTTTAGACTCCAACACTTGATTTCAAATTAGTAGTTACTCGAAAATTCCAATTAGTTGATATAAATAATTTTAGGTAATCTAATTTTCACCACCTGATTTATTCATTAAACCAGTGTCCACGTTGAAAATTGGCCAATCGTTAATCCAACAATGTTTTTGAGAATTCCAAAATAAATTATGTACTCACTACATTTGATTGCATGGCCTGGTGCTACTTGACTATGGATTTACGCAGTCCATTCTTAAAGTAAGCGTTTGCGATCTGAGAGATGAACTGTACCTCAAACCTTATGTTGTTTGGTGGACGTAATTAAAAGACCGTTTACTGTCAGTGTTTGAGATGTCAAGCAAATAAAATCGTATCTTAGATTACATATTTATGAAACTGAGCAATAGTTTGTTTTGTCTGAGCAAAGAGAATTCAGTATGTTCGTGTGATTTCTAGATACACTTTTCATTAACACAATCATAAACTCAGTTGTTTGGCGCGGCCAAATGGAACCATCAGGTTGTAAAATAATACCATCAAGTATTAGTTCGCCTTTTTCAAAGACAGTTGGGTGGCAAATATTTGCTCAGTACTTTACACATCTGTGTCTAAATTGAGCTTATTATTCTCAGATTTGCTGTTATTGAGCTCCAATTAAACGCTGGGTGATTATCAAACCTCATATTTTAGATATATTACAAAATTAATTGTCGTAATGATCCGAAAAAGACCCAAAAATACAAAGAATTTGTACAATTCTACCCCAACTATTTTTTTTGTTTTATTCAAATGGACGAAGAAAATTGATTCTTTGACGTTTTCAGTAAACCACTGATATTCTCTGCATGCTATCTCACGATTTTAACCACGGTTTAAACTTACAAGTTTATCACCTTACTTAATACACACTCTTGGCAAAAAAAACAAAATAGATATTCTTACATTTTACTGCCTCATTTACAGTTAAACGCATTCCCAAAGCACTTAAATAATATATAATTCTTTTTATATCGTTTTAATTTGTGTGTACAGGATGACAAACTGCAAGACTATGTTGAAAAAATCATGGAATGTGATTATATCATTTACAATATCAAAGATGATCACACTGTTGTTGATGATGCTTTGTGGATACTAGATCAAATCCATAGTAATTTAGAATCTTTTACAATACAAAAGATATTCATTCTTATTTCTTCTGTATTAACATGGTCCAAAAGTGCACTTCCAGATCCAGTATGTAATCGACTCATATAAACAATATTACAGGATGATCCGGAAATGCCTTTTACTTATGATGATTATTTAAGAAGGAAATCACATCCAAACTTCAAAGAGCATATATTAGCTGGGAAATCAGTTGTACAACAAGGAAAAATAGTAACTTAAACAGTAATACAACAATATAATTGCTTTTGTTCTTCAGAATAAACTAAAACTACTTACCTGTGTTATCGCATGTGGTCTAACGTATGAAGAGAAAGAAAATGTATCTCATCATTTCTTCAAGGTAGTTTATCCTCATTAACTCAATTTTTAAGTTAAAAGGACTATGTTAAACATTTTTAATATTTATCAGTCCACTTCTAGTGATAAAATAATAACTAATTTACAATCATCAGTATAGGGTTCTGGGGATTGTTGGATTTTATTGATTTCACAAGCTGATATTAGTCGTACAACAATTAAAAAGCTGTAATCACTAGACGGTTTGTTTCGTCCTACTATGGTACTCCTCGTCAGAGTGCGTTCACTACCCGTTCACCAGAAATTGAACCCAGGACCCAGGCCATGGATGAAACAGTGCACAGTGGTGCACAAATCAATAATATAGGACAAGTTTAAATCCGTCTGTTATTTGAAGAAATGATCTATATCAAAGCATGGAGCCTCAGAAATACAATATTCTACCAATCACTTTGAATAATTTTTTCTGGTTATGGTTTTTTAGGGGGTTAGTTTTCTACGGGATGGGGTTGCTAACTCCACGCCCAACACTCCGCCTTTATCCAGGCTTGGGACCGGCAGTAGCACCAGAGGGGCTCCAGGCAGAGAACTACGAACGCCATCATCCAGAAGATACCGGTGTTTATTAACAGTTGTCTACGCAAAATACTTCGGATCCGTTGACCAAACACTATCAGCAGCAACCTACTGTGAGATAGAACAAACCAGATCCCAGTGGAGGAGGAGATCAGGAAGAGGTGCAGGAGGTGGATAAGACACACGTTGAGAAAAGCAATCAACTGCGTCACATGGCGAGCTCTTACATGGAATCCTCAATGTGAAAGGAGGAGAGGAAGATCAAAGAACACAATACGCAGCAAAGCTTTTGACAAAGTTCCTCTCGAGGTTGAATTCAATTTATTAGTGTGAATAGAAGGTTTCCTAGTTGGGGGCCAGCAACGAGCATAGGTGGACTCGAAGTTGTCTAGGTTGGAAACCACGCTCAGCGAAGTGCCCCAATGTACAGTTTTGGGCCATTGTTGTTACTCCTGTATGGAAATGACCTTCTTATTCTAATGTAGTAGTCAGTCTTGTTATTTGTTGACGATATCTAGATCTATAAAGATGCCACAACTATTTGGAGTTTGACAACATCTTAACCAGCAACAACTATAATGGAAACGTGCCAACCCAGTGAAATCAGAGATCGGAAGCAAAGAGGTTGTAAGATGTATTTGCTAGGCTATCGATATATCCAGAAGCGGCTGATCTAGGTTGGCTAGCTGTTATAGGAGAACTTGAACACGGCGTACCCACTCGTGATCTGGTGCGGTTGCACGACCGAGCGCCTCCAGCTAGGTGAGTCAATTAAGACTAATGTGGTCAGCATCAAATGTCGAAGACTTACAGAGCCATTTATTTTGAGGACCTATTAACCACTACAGATCACATTCTGTTAGCGGGGCAGTGGTGACCCTAACACGTGGCCAGCCATAAGTTTAAACCCAACTAGTTCATCGTTAGTAAACACTATTCTGACAGCTTGCTATGTTCGTCTTCCATTACAACAAGAGGCCATGTGGTACAATGTAATCATGAAAAACGGACACAATAGAAATTTTAATCTATCGTAAATTTCGTCACTTTTTATCTCTTCTAGTACGGCTGTAAATGAAAAAAAGAATATGTTACTGCTTGTCGAATTACACTCGTGTGTGCGTAAAGACACAAAATGAGCAAAAAATGAAAAAAACTCATATACATGCCTTTTGTACAAATGCATTAGCGTGAAAACGATATTCGCAGAATGATGTTTTTGGCTTTTTGAAAAAACAAAAATATACGCATGTGAGCAAGCATAATAGCGACGACTTTTTAATTGCCTGTCCCGATTTTCAATCACATAACTAGCATGAAAATGATATGAACATATGTCAAAGTGTGTCTTCGCTGTTGGAACTCTAGGATTTCTCGGGCACACAATAAGCCCAGGAAAAAGTATGTAACAGTATGCAACCATTCGCCTGGCCTAAACAAAATTCCAAGGAAGCGTCAAACGACTAAACCCTCCCCAGGTCGCAACGACTGAAGAGGTGCGCCTAAACAGTCGCTTGTTTTATGTTAGAGACTGAAACTCTGGCTTGAATTTCTTGATAGATATTGGCTTTGCTCTTAGTATCATCCCTCAAAATAAAACTGAGATTAGTCGAGAAACATCCTCAGTTACACTTCAAGCTGCAAATAAAACTAAAATCGCGACATTTGAGCAGAAAACTTTAACCCTAGATTTGGGGTTCAGAAGGCAATTCCTCTGGGTTTTCACTGTAGCCGATTTAGATCTGGCAATACTGGGGATGGACTTTCTAGAGAGATACGAATTTCTAGTTGACACCAAGAAACGGCGATTAACACTAAAAGAAACTTCGTATTACACAAAAGGCAAAGAAAGTCACATCACATCTCTTAACTTGATTCAAACTCCTCCAGTAACAACAGCGAAATTCCAAGATATACTCGTGGAATTTTCAAACTTAACTAGACCAAACGCACAGCCTTCCAAAGACAAACTAGAAGTAAGTAATACTATCAAAACCGAAGTTGCACCTGTTTTTGCAAAGCCCAGGAGACTAGCACCAGATAAGCTCAAAATCGGCAGGGCCGAATTTGACTATATGCTACAACTGGGTATTATCCGCCTCTCAGATAGTCAATGGGCATCCCCTTTGCATATGGTGACGAAGAAGAATGAAGGTGATTGGAGAATGTGTGGGGATCACAGAGCCCTCAACCGCATATCTAAGATTTCACAAACGGTTTACATGGTATGAACATATTTACTCAAATTGACTTAGTCAGGGCATGTCACAATATCCCGGTGGCTGATGAAGATATCCCCAAGACAGTTATTACTACACCTTTTGGCTTGTTCGAGTTTGCACGCATGTCATTCGGTCCGAGAAATGCGGCACAGACATTTCAAAGATTCATGGATAACCTACTTCGAGATATGCCATTTGCACAAGGGTATGTAGTCGACTTGTTAATTGCCAGCCCGGATTTACAATCACACGAACAGCATGTACGAGCAATGTTAAAAAGACTGAATGAACATTGAATAAACATACATCAAAGTAAGTGTGTTTTCGGTGTTCGAACTTTAGAATTTCTCGGTCACACAATAAGCTCAGAAGGGATTACACCGATCAAAGAAGAAGTGGACATCATCAAACAATACTCCATACCTAGTTCTCTAACACAACTGAGAAGTTTTCTAGGCCTAATTAACTTTTATCGCAGATTCATACCAGGTTGTGCACAATTAATGCAACCTTTGACAGATTCACTTAAAGGAAAACCAAAAGAATTCAAACTGTCTTCTGACGCCGTCGGAGCTATCAAGCAGCTTGAAGATAAACTGGACCAAACAACCACGTTGATGTATCCGAATTCCCTTTCCCCACTTGCTTTCATGGTGGGTGCTTCAGATAAAGCAGTAGGGTTGTATCAAACTTCTGAATTGAGAGTGAATAGTATTTCCGTCTTCTAACGAGGCAGTTTCACTAACAGAAGGATTTTTAGTACCTGTTTGGTGAAGAAGTCTGAAAATCTGTCTACTGTTATATCTAGTCCTTTGCCTTTTCTGTACCTCATGCTCTTGCTACCCACCAACGCTCACGATCATTATATAGACTTTTTTATCAACCTACGTTTAAGTTGCATCTGCTCATCAGCTTGTTCAGAGCCAGGTGTTTTGAATTTCGAGTATTTGTCAGTTTTCTGAACGCCTCCGAGGTTCACTGATTTTTCTGACCTATTGGTTCAAGTTACTATTAGACACCGGTGCTGTTCACACAGTTTTTTATATATCGTAACAAGCTCCGTGGGGGTGGATATCACTTTCATAGCTGACTAGCTCCTTCGGTTTATTCCAAAGAAATATTCCAAAATTTCTCAACATTAAATTGAACTCTAAAGGGTTTTCTTGCTGTGGCTTTTCTACCTCTAGTAACACTCAGATAAATAAGTACTCGAACTAGAGCACGATTCAAGTCTAAACATGTGCTCCAGAATAATTGACAGTCTTCGCTAAGAAAGCCTGTTTCCCCATCTGACACAAGGTCTGAAGATTGAAAGCTCCATTGTTTAGCTTAGTGAGTTGTCTCAAAAGACCAAGAAAAGCATTTCACGAACCAAAATTAGCCTCGGTGGAGAGTGGTGATAAATGTATATGAGAAGCGTTGATCGTGGGAATGGAAGTGTTTTTATTGAATGAGTGAGGAGTTCGATCGTCAACGTAATGATCTCGGGTGCTGATACAGATGTGAGGGCTTCTGTCACTTCCCATTTGCTTACACTATGGAAGGATATCTCTTTTCAAAAGACCTGAAGAATGACCTGAGTTGATGGTGGTGATCTCAGTGATGTGGAAGGGTGACCGGAGAGCCCAGGGACAACTGCTTGATGTATGAGCTCTGAACATCAAACGGCTTAGGCTCCGGAAGTTCGTGGGTTAAGGTGAGGCTCGACATTCTAGAAGTCGGCCTTTTCTAAGCCTTTTATTCCTTTCTGAGAAGGCAGCATCTCTGTAGATGCTTGCTGTTCGAGAGAAAGAAATTACAACTGTCACAACCCTCCACGGTGAGCAGTACAACTTCGCCCCCGGGATTCGAGTTGCGGCTTTTAGAATTACTGTTCTTCAATCGATCTTTCCGTGATAACACGTATGTTCCAGCCGATATGGCTTCAGTCATCACGATCGGTAAATCCGCATTAGGAAAAACGAAGTACTCGAAACACTTTATTCTAACGAACAACTCCGTTCGTATGGCTGAGACAGAATGAAATGAATTCTGTACTTCTGGTTTGAATAAAACCAGAACGAACAGAATAACATCAATCCATTATACTTGGAGGTTTCTCATCAGCTGCCTAAACTCAACTACGTACTAGGATTTTACATCGAGAAACAACTGATACGAGTGAATGTCAAGAATCGGAACGACAAACGTCATCAATAATAACTATATATGTGTGAGCAAGAACAGGTCAGAAGTTATTTGGTGCTAGAATTAAGAAGACATTAGGGATTGGTGACGTACTAGTTGAGCTAAGTTCTGAGACAGGATAAATTATGTGATAATTTTAGGGGTAATGAAGGGTTTATAAAAGATTCATGGAACTAAAAAACTGGTTAGATGGGTTGCATAATAATTGAATGGGATCTGAACAGTTTACATAATGTATGATAATCGAGTGAGCGGAAATGTATAACTGAAGTAGTGATTTAATAATTCGGCAATGGAAGAGAAATAAAACAAACTAAACACTGACAAAACAAAATTATTGACAAGTCAATTTGCACAACAAATAACGTTTCTACTCCTTTTACAATAACACAAGAAACAGTTTGAGCTTCGAAACCCGTTTGTTTGAATATCTCGACCAGGTGTTTCGGTTTCACATTCGGTGAGTAACCTCATCATAGGTAGAAATGGGTGATCAGGCGGCGGTGCGTATTATGTCTTTTAAGAATGCTGGCAAGAGTGCAGACGTAAGTATAAGTGCTTTTTGTTATCATGCTTTTACCTTAGGAGATGCGACGTCGTCGTCAGGAAGGGCAAGTGGAACTTCGCAAGAACAAACGAGAAGAAACACTTCAAAAGAAAAGGAACATTCCTACTGGAACTAATGGACCACAGACGGCTAATGATCCCGTTGACACAGAAATCGATAGGACTGGAAAGTCTACTTTACTAAATCTGGAATCCATAGTAGCGAATGCTGAGAATGAAGATCCAGCTGTCAGATTGTTGGTCGTTCAGTCAGCTCGTAAGCTTCTTTCCAGTGATCGGAATCCTCCTATTGACGAGCTTATAAATGCTGGTATGCTACCAAAGTTGGTCGCTTGTCTGACAAGTGAAGAGTAAGTCAATCCCTCTGCAATCCATTCCTTCCACAAACGGCTCCTGAATTAGTCGCGTTTAAGTCTTTAAGAATCGATTTTATCGAACATGTTCAAATCTCTTGTCTTATCTTAAATATACCGGTAGGCTCAGATACTAAGTCTGACCAGTTTGGCTATTCGTTATAGTATATTCAGTAAAATTAGTAGGTACGACTTTGCGGCCAAATGGTGGTTAGTTAGTATTATCACCGTGAGTCGTTTGTGAAATTACCATGAATTCCCAATCCGGTCTTTATAGAGGTAACGTAAACTCGCAACTGAAGATATCTTGACCAAGCTATTAAATAGGTCGCATTCTCTAGCCCCCCACTTCATTTTTTATTGTCAGTTATTCTGCAGACATCTAGCGTATGTGGCCGACCCCCTAGTGCCAGATTTTATGCTAGGTATAATGCCAGGTATTTTGTGCTTGTAGGGGTGGTGAGTTGGTTCTCATGTTCAGATATTAGTCCTTAACCCTTACGCCATTTTGAGGATTCAGCTAAACAACATTGAGCTATGGGTTTTGAATCATGTAATAACTAGAGACGAGTGGTTTTCGCGCTGCAGTTTCTTTCACTTAGTGAATACTATGTCTAGTGTTGGGTTCTCGTTGGTCCTCAGTTCAGCTTAACGAGTTATGTAGTATTGGCCAAAGCACTTGTTCCTTGGGTTTTTGCCATACTGAAATCGATTGGTAGTTAGACCAAATCTAGGGAATCAGGTTTGTAGTTAAATTTCTCCGGATTGTAATAAGATCTAAACTTTCTCACCGAAAATCATCTTAGATATCACAATGAGAGCGATTAAGCAAGTCAACTTCGGGCCTAACACGGCCCTGATGTTTAGTTGGCACAGTAGGAACCTTTATCGAGGATACCGTCTGTAATATACCTCAGACAGTTATTACCTGGATTTGTCTCTGCTGACATCGTAGAGCGTCTATTGAACTCCTTAGGTAATAAATACACTTCAGAACTGGTTTGGGTCATAGCTTAGATTGACAGTGTAACCAGTTCATTTGCCTTGGAAGTACCAAGCCTGTGTTTGGCTGATGAGGTTTCTGCACGTCCTAAATAGTTACATGGCTTTTTTAATTCTGTATTTTGACATGGATATGTGTTTATCTACTAAGCGACAAACATTACTACTCAATAGTCCACTCTGTTACTGTTTAGCCGCAAAGCTTAGTCTATGTAAGCAAAACACCCGTAGACTGGCAACGTGATAAGTTTCTTCGTAGGATTCTGCTTATTCACATACGACAGCCAGCTTAGTAACTGTGACATTGTTTGACATGCTTTTTCGCTGATTAAGGCGACCGAATCATTTATTACACATATGTGACTGCTCGGTCACGGTACGCAATACTGGTTAGGGTGTAATCAAGCTAGTCAAAAACCATAGCCCGTCAAAGATGGGATATCAGCCCATGAAATCATTGTAGAACTAAGCCGTTGTTGATGATGCAGAACATCTTATTACGCCCATAATAAGTTAGTAGAGCAGGTCCATTTACTCTTCATTCCTCAAATACTAAGTTTTAATATTCATTCATGCTTTCCATTCTGTTCTTCGAACATTTTTATCAGCATTTCGTCTTCACTATCATCATAATTGCTTGTATTGTCTCGACTCCTTAGCATTTCATCTTGTTAGCTTCATCTCACTGTGCTAATGTAGAAAATGACACTTGAATTAGAAACATGACCAACTGATATGTTGTCCTCGTATTCTATTAAAATTTAAGTACTTCAAAGCAGTCTGCCGTGTGTTATACATATACATCAAATGATCACTGATCGAGAAACCTGACTACTGTTAGAGTTTTTAAAATAGTGCCTGAGACATCAAGTACGCTGGACTCGATTTCTAAGGTCCTACGTTTGTCTGGACTTTCAATTGGTTCGACTTCTCAGGTATTTCTAGGATTAGAGCGTACCCGATAACGTTCTGAAATTTGAAATGATCGAAACCACTTGTTGATAAAACCTGATATCTAGCTGAATCATTGCTGACAATACATCTTTTATTTTAGTCCCAATCTTCAATTTGAAGCTGCCTGGGCCTTGACGAATATTGCATCCGGCACATCTGGACAGACTCTAGCTGTTGTTCAAGCAGGAGCCGTACCACGTTTTCTAAAGCTGCTGTCTTCTTCACACCCTAATGTTTGCGAACAGGCTGTTTGGGCCTTAGGTAATATAATCGGAGATGGTCCAGTATTAAGGGATTACGTAATCAAATTGGATGTCATAAAACCACTATTAAAGCTCTTAACACCAAATATACCATTGAACTTCCTACGCAATGTCACCTGGGTGATGGTCAACCTTTGTCGCAACAAGGACCCTCCTCCTCCTGCCTCAGCTATCAGAGAACTTCTCCCAGCTCTCTTATATTTAATAAAACACACCGATGATAGTGTAAGTTATTCCATATTTTTAATCTATATTTTGATGTTCACAGCTATATGTGGATATGGACTACAATAACTAGGAATCGTTTTGTTTATTACAAACCTTACTTAATAACCAGTACCAATTCTTATTCGTTAATTCCATTCCATACAGTCTAGGTACTAATTTTCACATTTACTTTTAACCCGATATAAATCTTCCGATCCACTTGAAAAATCTAGCTTATAAGTGTAGACAGCAAGTTCATCTACACATCAGAAAAGTGCATTGTTTACCACTAAAAAGTGATTTCCCAAAACCCTCGTTTACAATAAGTGTAGCAAGTTTACTTCATCCACTGATTGTGTAATTGTAAAGTATGCAGTAATTCTTGATGCTATCGGGGATGATTTAGAAAGTAAGAGACTTCAGAATCTCCATTGTCCAATTAAGTGCACAAATTCAAAACCTATGTATGTTATGTGGTAAAAATAACCCCATCTCATCCAAGTTTGTGAAACGAAATTACGAAACCGGATAGGCTGTGGTCGTGTTGCGTATTGTGTTAACCTTATGTCAGTTTGTTGCATCTCGACTTCTAAGGAAGTGAAAAATCCTTATTGTTCAGTCGTAAATATTGCACTATTCTACGAAACTACGTGGTCAGAATAACTTTTTAACCGTCATTGATTTTCAGTCAAATAAGTTTCATTGTAAGCATATAATAAGTATTTATTGCGAGTTCGTTGAAAGCAAGATAAGTAAAAGTACTAATTTCTTAGGTTTTGTAATCAACCTAGAACCATACAAACTTTTGTCACATGTATTATACACTGGGTCACAAAAGTTAGTGAGACTTGCATAATGTCAGCCTACTTAAACGTTCTTTTTATTTACTTGCGGTCTTGTAAATTTCCAGATTCTCGTCGACACTGTTTGGGCTATATCTTATCTAACTGACGGTGGAAACGATCAAATCGAAATGGTTATAAATGCAGAGATAGTGCCTCATTTGGTTCCATTGTTATCACATTCAAGTTTCAAGGTGCAAACTGCTGCGTTGCGTGCCGTTGGAAATATAGTTACAGGTTCAGACCAACAAACTCAAGTTGTTTTGGATTGTGGAGCTCTAAGTCATTTTGCATCTTTGTTGACTCACCCGAGAGATAAAATTAACAAAGAAGCTGTCTGGTTTCTATCCAATATTACTGCAGGGAACCAAAGTCAAGTCCAAGCTGTGATAGACCATGGACTAGTCCCGTTAATTATCCATCATCTAGCTGAAAGCGAGTTCTTGACACAAAAAGAAGCTGCATGGGCTATCTCGAATCTAGCGATCAACGGAAATGCTGAACAGGTGTGTTTTTTTGTTCCATGAACTTGTTTTAAAATTCTCAGGGGCAGTCAGCACTTGAAAAGTTAGTAGGTACTGGTCGATAGTTCATAAATAGAATCTAAATGTCATTTTACAAAAAGCGTTCCACTAGCACCCTATTGATACATAGGTTTTCGAATAATCAATTTGTAAACGGTCAAATGTTCGGTAATATTTGAAATTTTCAACCACTCTTGACTAGAATTTCAGCACATGCTGGAATGAATCATTGATAAATGACGAAATGCATTTAAGTCCTTTTCAGATGAGTAACAATTTTTAAACAAGAAGCGGCAAATATTTGCTGTTTTTATTTCTGACCTGTACTTACTTTTTTGTCTCAAGGTAAGGTACGTCATCGACCAACGCGTTATTCCTCCGCTTTGTAAAATGTTAAATACCAGAGATGTCCAGGTCGCTCAAGTTGTTTTGGATGGAATATCAAATATATTGGCAGCAGCTGGCGATAACTTGGAACAGGTCACAACTGCAATCGAAGAATGTGGTGGGTTGGATCTTATCGAAGCTCTTCAAGAACATACAAATATCGACATATATCGTTTGGCATATGACATAATCGAACGATATTTTAACGAAGGGGTAAGTTTTATTTTTGGGATAATTATCCCCTCAAGCTCTATGATTAGCATAGATGGTGTATCTATACAAGAAATTACTTGATTTATCGTCAAACTTTGTTGTAATCTTATTCACTGAAAAACATACTATTAATATTCTGATAAACCAATACTAAAAGAAATAGCATAAATAGTCCTGTCTGGAAAGCTACTAATATTAGCTCATTTGTTGTAGGTTAAACTTCAGTAGTTCTGTACGGGGCTTAGGTTAATGAAAAGACACTCATCTTAACCTTGTTGTTAAACATGAATAAACAGTAATAAAATGTCTTACTCCTGAACACCTAGAAGCTATTATTAACAGAGTTCTTTTTAAAAATACTTGGTTCTCAGGTAACTGGTATTATTTTGTATTTTTCAACCGAAGTAGTTAGAATGTTGGCCTTCAATGTCTAACCTGGAGTTTTTGTAAGAATCTCCGTAGATTTAAACGACATTCCCCAGTTTCATTGAGTTTACCTAAACTTATGATTCACGCTTTTAAAATCATGCACCAATCCATTGTTGATCGGAATAACCAAAATATTTAGAAATTCATGGTAAGGATTTCTCATTCCCAAAAACAACTGGTGGTCTCTGTTTTCAGAAAATCCATCTATTTGTTTGTTGAGCACCCTCTTTCTTCAATTGAATGCTTTTTCATTATGGATTCACTAATTTTGATACATGTAATTCTTTACTATTTACAGATGATTGACGATCCAAATACAACTGGGGTTGCTGAAGATGAACATTTGGGTGATTTTATCTCGGTACCACAAGTTCCAGCTACTTTCCAGTTTGACGCTGATCAGTGTAACACTGATGCTACAAGAGGGTTCGATTTCTAGTTAATTAACGTAGCCGCTATAATGTAATGGTTTATGGAAGTAAGATTTTGGTCTTTAAATCACTTAGGTTATTTCCTTCATATTAATTACATCAGTGCGTGTCGCAATTAATATTTTGACTTTCATTTTATCATCCGTAGTTTATACATTATCTATGGCTCAAATTATTTTGATATGCTCCGACCTTCAATGGAATTCTGCTTGTTTATTACCTTTCACAATGCTTTCCTTTCTCACGATCCGTAACAGGTCTTACATTCATATTTTCATAAATTCTTGCCTTTGATAGCCAACCTAGTAGAATGATCTAACAACCGCCCCTCCTGTTTTGCATTTAATTAAAGCCGTTCATGCGGTTGTTGCTGTACTGTTCCATTCCTCTTAGTTCTCAACCATTAGAACAAAAATCTTTCTATTTCGTTAGCTCGTTCGTTTTTGTTTCACATTTTATCCATCCAAGATTTTGCTCCAAGGTCCCCGTCTGTTGCATTACTAATTCTTCAGGATTTTCCTTAGATTCATTTTGTATGTCTGTATAAAACTTTATGGTTGCCTTGGCTGTTTGCCTATTCCTATTTATTTATTTATTCATGATTGTTTGGTTTTATCTCACCTGTTTTTTTGATCATGTTAGTATGTCTTCCTAGTTTTTTTTTCATTTTGGGTTAACTCAATACTATCGTAATGAATTGTTTGAGCTAACCTTTCAATCAGTCTGAGTTTAGCCTTCATTTTTTTCACCAATCAGATTCTCAATTTTTCCTGGTGTGACTGTGTAACTTATTACTTTGCCTTTGTCTTTCGGTACCTCTGTACCTATTTGCCTTTTCTGTGTATTTGTCCATTGCACTACCTTCTTTTGGTCTTCCGCGTTACTATTGATTTTGAATTTCCGAACTTTTGTGGCATGTCTGTGATCTTTAAATAGTATTGTTTGGTTCCACTCTATTTCTCATTTTAGTCGTTTTACTTAGCCTTTGTTATACTGAGTTCATCTGTTTTTGGCTTCTACCTTGTCTTTCTTATCTTCCGTCTCTAAGATTTTTGTGTTCAACAAAATGAATACCTTTCTTGGTTTTTACTGCTGCCTGTCTGTATATATCTTCTATTTTGTCCCCAAGCATTGTCCTTTTCAAACTTTCCATTCCTATTTTGTCTTTTCGGGCGGTTGTGTATCTATTTTTGCCACTTCTAATTTTGCTTCACTCATATTTCCTGAACTTTTTTCTTCGAAACTACCAAAATGCTAAACACAGTTTGTTTACCTGTCATTAAATGCGCAGGACTATGTCGGGAGTTGTACGCAAAACGTTTGTAATCGATTTCACTGAACTGTTAATTGTTAAATACATGTGTTATTGTGAGTAATCCTTAAGCTTGTGGTTTTATTACATTAAGTGGTTAACGTTATGGTTCACTTCTCAGTCATGAAAACCTTTTTGAACTCCCATTTTATCTTTAATACTCAACTCCACTTGATGAGCGAATTTTAATCATGTGTTCGCTAGTAACTAACCTCTAGTTCATTTGCTGAAGTTCCTGTGGAAAGTTGTCGGTGGAGTTCATCCGAATCACCAATGACTCGGGGTTGTAGTTACGTCATGTCGCGTATTGGTGGTTGGTTAAAGGTAAACCAATTGATATCAACTCAGTAGTCTCAAGATAATATTTTCCACAAGATACATCCGACGAATCTCAAACCAGAATGATACAGATGTTCAATTCTCCCTGGATCTCAATTGATGCCAATACATGACGAAAAACCCATAAATATTGTGAAATTAGGAATACTCTCTAGAAGTTATGTCGTAAGGAATTTCTTAACGAAATGTGACGAAGTTATCTTAGTGGTTTTTATTTGGTAATAACGAGTTCAACCAACTATATGTATACGAAGGGTATGTGTGTGGTGATTGATCAAGAGTGCTTAATTATTGAGTCAAGCTCCTTAAAATGAATGAATAACAGGTGACAACAACTGATCAGTAAAATGACATTAATATTTTATAAGATACGAAAAAAGCACTTCTAAGTAATTTAAAGTGTCTATAGGCTACATATTTTTAAAGGTCACACATCCCCAACGGTTAATCGAAAAATGAAGTTATTCATTCACGATACTGATGGCAAACCGAGTATGGATTTTAGTGTGTATTAAATACTGGTCAGGTCAAAAGGTGTTGATAAAGTGATTCTAGCGTTCATTGATTTGTGATACGGAAATTTCTTGTACGACAGCCAGTAGCTATCTAATAACCCATCTGTGAAAAGGAATTGTTTTATTAGGTTGATACGCTGCGCCGAATAATGAGTCCACACTACTGACCAAAATTTGGCTTTATTGCGTCGTTGACGGGACATTATCACAGAAAAATAAAACCTTCAATGTAAATATCGAAGTGGTAGAGATAGTACAAAAATTAGGCATAAAGAATATCGTTCGAGAAGGAGTGAATTTGAGTAATGAAAATTATGAACTTATTTAAAAATCCAGTATTTGAGGGAAAACAGTGAATGTGCCTTCATCATTGTAACTGAACCTAAGTCATGTCACTCAGCGTCTTCAACTAATGTTTACAATAATGATACGAACCCTAGCGGAGTAGTCTGCACCACCCAGTATAGTTCAATCCAACAGTTAGTTGCTTTACTCACTAATCATACATCTACGTTCGGTTACCCCTAGTCTTCCAACCCTCTTCTACGCTAGCCAACATTGTATTTGGGATGAATTTTAGATTTTATTTGTATAACAATAGATTTGTTTTAGTTATTACTTAAGCATGAAAAGAACTGTAGAAAAGTAGCTTAACAACCCCCAAAGAATATTGGAGCGAACAATTGTTTTTAATAAATACGTCATCGGTTATAAGTTAATTATTGTGTTATTTTTGCGAAGGTTAATGAATTAGACAATATTATATGCTAAAAATTCTGAACTTGTACATTTGTAACGGCATGAACACTTCAAAACTGTGTCATTTGTAAATTAGAAGTTATCGAAAAAGAATTACGTGAAATGAGTAAATAAGAATAAAAAGGTAGAAAATTAATTTTCACTGAAAAATGGTGTTTCACTGATTATTTTCCCTATGGTGTACTATTACCGTTAGCCATTGTACTCAAACTCAACTTAGCATCTGTAAACAACTGAAAACACATACATATAATATTTTACCAGCCACACAGTCAGGAACTAATTCTCCGACACAAACAATTTCCCATTTGTCCCTGTCCATATTGATAACTGCATCATATAGAAACTTGTCATGGAAATCTATCATAAAACAGCCTTGATGATCTCTAATTTTGTTTAAATGCCAAAACGTAGTCTGGGTCGAAACGGATATATAGTTATTCCAACCTGTTCGAAAACGTTGGTTCATTTCGACAGTCAAAACACGAGTTAACCACTACAATTATTATTAAAGTTCAAGGATAGAACTACTATAGAAAGTATAATACCAAACATCACATCATATTAGCTTTTTATGTTCCGGATTAATTCATAAATTGATTATGTGTTATCAGTTTAAAAGTACTCTGAATCGTTACCAATATCATATTGATAATCAGAATAGTACATCCAAATTATTTTAGTTATATTTTTTCATGTTGATATAATTTTCTCCAATTTTTTCCTTGGTTTATGAAATCATAACTAAATATGAAAATGAAGACAACATATCACTATAAAAATCAATTAAACATTGATTAGTTTCAATCAGTCCAAAATTCAATGTTTGGAATGGGTTAACTCAGAATTCTTCAACTAGTTCGTTTAATTAAGTAAATAAGTGTTATTTCCACTGTGGGCAAAATAGCAGTATGTGTTAAGCTCCTTTTAGGATTCATTACCTGCATGAAGTTTGTTCCTTTCGATCTAGTGACTACTATAACATCATCAGCGAAAAGCATAAATGAATTGGTATCAGAAGGGGTTTTGTGGAGATTGCAGTAATTTCAATAGTTGAGATCATGAGTTAATTAAAGCTAGACTACCATAGAAAACCTGGAAGCAGTGAACGACCGTTTCGTCCTATTGTGGGACTCTTCAGCAAATGAGCATCCACGATCCCACCTCGCGAGATTTCAGCCTGGGACCTATCAGTCTCGCGCGCGAACGATTAACCTTTAGACCACTGAGCCGGCCGACATCCAACGGTGTTAATGTCCAACTTCAACTAACCCACGAAATTGATAGGTCCTGGTTTTGGATCCTGCGAGTCGGGGTAGTGGGCGTGCACTGCTGAGGAGTACCATACTAGGAAGAAACGACTGTCCAGTGCTTCTAGGTTTTCCATGGTGGTCTAGCTTCAATTGATTCATGATCTCAACCATAAATGAATTGTCGAAATTTCGTCCCGAATGTCTAACCAGTTCATTCTGTCGGCAATAAATTCAAGTGATTATTGTCAATATTTGTTCTGTCACTCCACACTTTTCCTTCGTGATTTATTGTGTTGTGAGATATCCGATTCTGATGCTATTAAGCAGACATCCTATTCATGAGTGACAAGGACGTCTTATCGACCAACTGTATCAAAAAATAACTAAGCATTCAAATATACACCTATCTTCCCACCAATAACGTGTATCACATTTATTTCCTAAGAAAAAAAAGCCAAATACCAGCCAGTCATACGCGCGTATCATTTACCCAATGTCAGATTAAGCCGCTGCATCATTATTGTTGCTAATCTTTTTAACACTAAAGATTTTGACTTGATGACTTTGTTTAGAAAGAAAATTAAAGCTTCATGAATAAACTGTCTAATATAGAGAAAACTTCATAAAAAATCACCGCTCTATCTCGCATATCTTTTCTATAATTTCAAATGAAACCCTGGTTCTTCATAACTCAATTAAACATGTGTATATATATCTCTCTCTCTGTGTGGAGACATACTGTTTTCAGATTATATGTTCGTCCTACTCTTTTTTGTAAGCACTAAGTGACATGAAGTTCATTCATTATGTATTAGTCTACATGTAATTTGAATACAACTACAACTCAGTATATTAAATTAGTATATTTGGAGTGTATAATCCCGCATTTACTTTTTGAATGCCAATGTGTACTTGTATAATGGATAATTTCTTTAGAAACATACATTTCTTCCTTCTCTTCGCTTAGATTACATAATGCGTGACAGAAATCAATAATAATATAACCCCCATGTTGTATTATTATTAATATTGATATATAATTACACCACTTAGAAAACCTAATTAATTCTCATACTCTATAGAAACGAGTATAATTATGTATACATACATAGAATAATTGACCCGGAGTAACAGAATAATGGTCATAATGCTAATTAACCAATCAAGTATTTACTCTAGCTACTATTATACAAACATGTATATCAAGAAATTGTACTTCCGGGAAGAAGTTTTTGTTTATTTGAATATAAAATTACTGGTAGTGTTTAAATTGTGTGTATATAAATCATTTGAAATAATTCAGGGAAATTTACACCCATTCGAGTTAAATTAGTTATCAACAAATCTATGTATAAATTGATTCATTATTCATAGAGTTTGTATATTAATTATGAATCACCATGAAGAATTGTACAATATTCATAGTATTAGAGAATACAGTATCCAATTTAATGGCAAGTAGTCGATTAATCAAACGTTATGATTTGAACACGTTAAAGGTTGAAGTTAGTTGAAATCTTTTTCAACACGGCTATTATTTTATTAACATTATTACTGTGGTTAGTATTGTTTTTATGCATTATATTTTTATTGGCCCCCAAATGCCCTAGTACGGCCAAGAGTGGGGAGAGTCTGCTCTCCCTCTCGAAATGCTCTCACATGGTCACGCGTATATGGCCTCTGCCAGGGAAGTTCTACTCACTGCCTTCTCGTGGCATTACTGTTGCTTACGAAAATGAGAGGCGAAAAGCGAATGTCCGGCGCTTTAACCGGATTCCAAACCAATGGTGCACATGGGCTCCAGTATTCTGAAGGAGCAAATGGTGTATGAACCAGTCGTTGGTCACCGGCTTCCATGGGACTGCATCTCCTTACGATGCTCCACTGCCTTGTGGATCAGACCTTCAGGTCGAAGGCTCAGGATGTGGCCCCCCAAGAACACCACCTGCTTCGGTTTGGGCACCCGGGCAGTATCACAGCCCTCACACATATCGAATGAGATTTGTGTGGTGCATATGTATTTGGTGCCTCCTTGTACCAATATCTATGTGTTAAAATAAATAAATAAAATAAAATATTTTGATTGGTTTATTACTGTGTCATGGCCGTTGTCAAGCTCGTTTAGGTCACAGTACTGACAGAATTCTATCTATGAACTAACAATCTTAAAAGAAATAATGTTACCCATAAAATCTGAATTCATATCATATAGTGCGAGTCACAGGCATTACCATTGAGCCATTCATAAATTAGCTTTTTGCAATTATGAACTATTATCCATTGAAGATACTCAAAGTCAAAATGTAGTAAATAATTACCATGTTCAACTAATAAACTACTTCATTGTAAATACCTTTCAAACCACGGGCAATTATATCCAGGACTTTCATGCTCTGAGAACGAATACAATATTAAGTTTCTTTTCGTTAACAGTGTACACCAATGATGTGTAGATATTTGAAACTGAAGAGTGAACCTAACAACATCTAACCCTGTGATCAACAGATCGTATGTATCTAACACTATTTATGCAAAACAAATTGAAATTTAATTAGGATATTCATTGAAAGTTCACATATTTTTAAAGTCATACTATTGATTATAAAAGAATAATCTTGGAGTGATTATTTTTGTCTGTAATGTTCATCCTACACATTCAATGGTCACATTTTTAAAGTTATTATTGATGTCATAGGTTTTGTTATTTAAATATGGTTATCTATAAAACAAAACCACAGCAGAATCTTACGACTCATTTTCGCTGATTGATTCATTTTCATTTTATTAGTCAGTGTTCCAGTTCTTAATATATTCTACTAATAATATCAGTAGGCCTAAATTTGCAATTATGCACCACTAAATCCCATATTAGCGATTAAATAAAAGTAACATACCAGTCAAGTAATGTCAAGATCATTGTAGTTTGTAGGTCTGAAATACTAAATAGTCCCAAACTAGAACGAAATATAAGTCTACCACCTATTGCTTTTTTCAATAATTCTTTCATTGACTTCAATTCTTTATTAAAATTGCTCTTTTAATCTCAGTGAAAATCAGTTTTTTTTAATTCGAGGTTAACCGACGCAAGTTTATTCCTTTCTTATAGTAACTAAAATGTGTAAATTTGATCAGTTTAAAATGCATACTTAAAAAATGATCTTATGATCTTATAATGATTTCAATACAATTAATGACAGTCTAAATAGGTGAGTACATCATTCTATGCCAAAAATAACTACAAATGATTGTAAAATTTCCAAACATGCATATACAACCTCTAGTTTTAGTTATTATAAGGAAAAAGATAAATTCACAGATTGAAATCATGAGTCAATTGAAGCTAGACCACCATGGAAAACCTGGAAGAACTGGACGGTTCTAGTGAGAAGCCGTTATCAGTGGAGTTCAACCAGGTCTGTTGTGAGATATCAACTCACTGAAGACAATGGTGCACGGTGGTGAAACTTCGTGGATTGGTTGAAGTTAGACAATAACACCGTTGGATGCCAGCCGGCTCAGTGGTCTAGTTGGTTAAGCGCCTGGCGTGAGACTGATAGGTCCTGGGTTCGAATCTCGCGGGGTGTGGGATCGTGGATGCGTACTGCTGAGGAGTCCCATACTAGGAAGAAACGGCCGTTTAGTGCTTCCAGGTTTTCCATGGTGGTGTAGCTTCAAATGACTCATGATTTCAATCTCTGAAATTTCTAAAATCTCCACAAACCCCTTCTGATAAAAAAATGCTAATAACGTGACCAGAAGAGGATTTGTCATGGTTCAAATTGGAATTTGTAAATTACCCTGGTCACTACCAGTATTATCTGTTCTTAGTTGTAGGATGTCTAAAAAGTTTAGAATAACGGCACAGAGAACTTAATGGAACATGATCATGACTCTTCTGTGTAACTATAACCTAAATTACACTTCAGTAATATCTCTTCTAATATTTGTGACTAAACCTTCAAACTATGAAAACAAAAAAAGCATAGTTTGAGATGGCGAAGAATATATTTATGGTAGAATATCACTCCTTACATTAAATCGCTTTTCATGTGATTATTAATTGGATTTAAATGATTATAACCTAAAACAAATTTTATGCTAAACAAATATTAAAACAGTGAATATTTACCAGATTATCATACATACTGAAATAATGATTGAATTTGCCACAATGTAATTTGTGGGAATTGATGAAAAAAGCTATCAGGATGTTCAAAAAGTATAAACATATACTTTTGGTATATAACACATTGGATAAAACTGCTTTTTCACATGCATTATATACTTCATTGACCGTAGTGAAGACTAAAAGAATTCTAAAAGGTCAAGAATAACGTCAACCACCTCCTTTGATGAAAGCATCGAATTTATGCGATCATTTGTTCTCTTCTATCATCATTCCACTATTCGGGCGGTTTTGGAATTTGTAAGTACTGTGTGTTCACCGGATTCTAGTAAAAGATGAAACACTAAAGACTCTGGTTTTTGAGGACTTTAAGAGATACACTAAATGCTGTGCCTCAAATGGAGATTATTTTGAAAGGGGATGAGATATATGGTAGATTTTGTGAAATAAAGTTTTTATGAACTTATTCCGTCTATTTATTGAACTATCTAGTACATTTTAGTTTTGCAACAATATTAGCATAATACCTATCAGTAAATGAATCAGGTGGGAAGGGAATTAACTATCTCAAGGTCACTCACTCTATTAACAGTAATGTAGCCTATATGTATACATATATAAACTAGAACAGTATCCATCACATTTTATCAATACGCAGTGGTTTCCAGAAATCAGGGCAACCACTAGCTTACAGTCTAATTTTTAATTTAGAAACAAGATCGAAAACAAAGGAGATAGCTCACTTTAAAGGTGCACTCAGAATAAATTGTTATTGTAGGTAAAAACTTTTCCATACTGTGTATTATAACAGAAGTTTGATGACCAGTGTTTTAAATGAACTCGAATATTCGTTGAAATACAATAAAGTTTCAAGTGAAGTGATATACTTTACTAGAAGATAGTTTTTATCCTAAACTGATTTAATCTGATAGAATTATCGTAAACTATGGCAGATTGATAGGAATTACTGAGAAGCCGGAAAGTGAGACAGAACAGCTATCCGGTTCATCTTAGCTTTTCCATGGTATTCATGTGAATTAGTTTGTGATAAAATCTATCTTGTATTAGAATCGGAATGTACACATTTTCATCGGACCTCATGGATTCCCATTAGAATTAATGAGAGTATTTTAAAGAAAATAAATGTGTATCTATCAGATATACATACAACACCTTTTGATTAACAAAAATAATACCCTTAATTAAATAGTGTCTCCTGAATGATCTGATTTGTAAATCTTCCTACTTTATAGTTACCTTATTTTCTCAAATTATTGTAATACTACCTTGGTGACTAATTATAAGAAAAGCTACAATATCGACACAAAATAAGCCTAAAAATTTTATGAAAAATCAATCGCAAGGTAATATTCTTTTAACTTTAACTTGTTTTTTGTATTATTATTATTATTATTATTATTATTATTATTATTATTAGTAGTAGTAGTAGTAGTAGTAGTAGTAGTAGTAGTAGTAGTAGTAGTAATAGTAGTAGTAATATTAGTATTAGTATTAGTAGTAGTAGTATTAATATTGGTAGTAGTAGTAGTAGTAGTAGTAGTAGTAATGGTAGTAGTAATAGTGGTAGTAGTATTGTTATTCATTATTATGAAATCGTAATACATGTAACACTAGATCTTAGGACATTGATGTTGAACAGTGACTAAGTCAACTTGTAAACTATAGAAATTAATTATTTTCAAGGATACTGACTTTTTAGCCAATTCCTATAACACCAGATTACTTCGATACTATAGCTCCAACAACAGAGAAAAAAGGGCGAAATATGAGGAAGTGTTGTAATGCAAGGCTAGTTTATGTACAAAAAATCGAGTGTATTTATGGAGTTTTATGAGACTTCAGTTCTCAGAACTTTCTAAAAACATTCCAAGTATAATAACTGCATAGGTAATCATCTAATAAAAAGGTGGCAAGCAATCTTTCATTATCCTAGATATTCCTTAGAAACTTCTATTCTATGTTGATTGAATAGAAAATATTCTGTAGTTTCCTTGACTTCTAGAGATTTTAGAGGGATATTTTGGGACTCCCCAAAAATTCTGGTTTACTTCCTGATATAAAATGTATTACTATTATATGTGATTGACCTTAGAATTCAATAATTATCATCAAAAGCTATAGTTTTAATGTCCTAATCGTTACCTACAAATGTAAACACACTCATTATCTTCATATGTTATCGCATAAAGAAGAGTTGTTAACTTTGCCAATATAGTATAATTTAATATTACCTTTCAAGAGGTGTTATGACATTAGTTGAATAACTGCTCTTCATATCCAAGGTCGCATAATATTACTAACAGTTATACTATCGTATAATAACACTTAAAAATTGATAAATATAAAGTGTTTTATTTT